TCTTTGTGTGTCTTCCATGGAGGTGACAGCAGTTCCAGATTCCTTTGACAGCAGCTGCCATGGTCTCTTCCTGCTGTTGTGCTGTCCCCAGAAGTCAATGCACTTCAGCAGTTTGTTAGGCTGCTTCCTTAGTATTCTGGGTCTCTTCTCTTGGTTTTATGTGAACATTAACCTTTACTCTCAGGTTTTTTGTTCCATTTAATGAATTTTGCAACTTTCCATAGTGGGTGGATTCAGAAGGAAATGTAACTTCTAAGGCTCTCATGGAAAGTCTTGAGTCTCTTAATTCAGTGACAGCCTGTAAATTGGCAGCACCAGCAAGGAGCTTCCACCATCCGAATGCTTCCCATACACTAGCTGGGAATGTGATGTGCTCAGAGTCATCCAGACCTGAAGCTGAGTCCCCTACTCAGTGCTTTATCCACTCAGCCACTGAAACCTCATTGCCTTTGCCTTGTAGCCACTGGTGTTTTGGGATTCATCCTGGCAACAACAAAACCCAGACAGCTCCAAAAGCATGTTTTACTGACTGTTTGATGAGCAGAGAGGATTTTTCCCTCTCTCTAGCTGATAGCTTGCCGCTCACCAACACAATTTTACCTGAAGTACATTTACATTGCCACTACAGCAGTTAATGACTATGAATCTCAACAAAGGATGACTAAATATAATTAAGGCATGCTGACTGATACCTTAGACACTTGTTTTGGTATTCATAATTAATGGATTAACTAGAAAAAATCCCTCTAGGGGACCTTCTCTCATCTAGATTTTTCTTCCCTTTGGTGTTTTATCTTCAAGACATCACACTGGTGTACTCCATAAATTATGTGCTTTCTGCTTCAAACACACAAACCGAAAAGGACAAGCTAAGGAGCTAAGAACAGAGTATGAACACTGCTATGATTTCAAGTTCTCTTTGTGGCAGAGCTATGAAATATCCACTGCAGTGAACGTATCTGACTGCCTGTGTCCCTGCCCAAGAAAACTGAGAGAAGAAACAGCAGAGATGTTATGGCACAGACCATTCTGCTCAGAAGAAAGTATTTAGCTTTTGTGAGAACTTCTCTACAGCAGGTATCCAGCACAAACATGCTTTTGCTGGGCACAAAAGCAGGTATCCAGCTGACAGCACAGAGCAGCCCATGACTGGCTGAAGCATCATCACAACATGAAGAAGAACAAACCTTAGAACTGTCCAGACAGATCAAGGTTGAAATTCTTCCTGCCTGTGGTGACAATAGCAAAGCAAAAGTAACCCTGTGAAGTGCACTGCAACAGAGTATAGCTGGGATCAAGAAGGAATTACATAAGGAAAGCTAATTTTATGAGCCAAGATTTGATCTTGCTGCCTGTTTACCACTGGAATTATAACTCTGTCTTATGCAGCATCAAACATAATTACTGTGAAGGGAATTATGAGAGCAGAACTGCAGGTTACTGCTTCCAGGTGCAGAATAACTGGCAGGAACAGACAAAATGGTAACCCAGACCTATGTGCTTTCAAAACAGATGTCCTTGGTAGCAAAGGGAAGAATAGCACCTGGGTAAGTATCCAAGAAGTATCTAAGAGCAGCAGAACTCTGTGGGTTTTCCCCTGTCCCATGGAGCTGGCTGCAATGTTTTAGTGGAGTAATTTGCTCTAATGAAGCAATGAAAAACTCTCCTGGTGCTTTAGTAAATCTGCCCTTTGAGGATGAGTGTTCATCACCTGCTGCTTCAGCTGCAGCCCATGGGACCTCCTGCTGTGTGTCTGCGTGGATGGACCAGGCATAGCCAAGGGCTGCTGCAGCAGAAGGGAGAGCAACTGCTGATGGATGGGGAGAGGTGGGAGGTGATGCTGTGGAAGCTGGTGTTACCTGGCAGAGCAGCTCTGAAATAACACAAACACTAAAGCAAGGCTAGCATGAGGAGGAGGAAAAGGCAGCACTATGCAAAGCTCTGCTTCAACTTCTTACAGTTATAATAATGTTCTTCTATGAAACCAGAAGCCCCCTGAGAGCACAGAAATCTCATAATTTCATATACAAAACGCCTGGGTTTCCCCACTCCCACCCCTATTCCACCACCTGGCATAAAAAAGCAAAAAGGACTCAGGTCAGATGGGAACTTTCCCCTGGTTAAAAGCTGCTATTTGTCATTTCTCAGGGTGTGTTTCTCTCTCCAAAACCCAGGAGTGATAAAACAGAAGACACAGCAAAACAACTTTCTTGCTCTAAATTGCTTTTCTAATTTGACTGGCTCTATTGGTACTAAAGCACTGATCAGCTGAAGTCAAAGTTAAATAATATTTTGCCACTTTTAGCACCTTTTTAGCTCATCTTTAGGAACTGTATTTTCAAGTTGGCAACGCTTTGCTACCACCCTGCTCCGACCAGCCCAGTGTTTCCTGGAGCACTCTGCAGAGATGCTGCTTGATAACCTGCTCCCAGTTTTAGTTTGGAAAAAGCAGTCCATAAAACACTTTAGCTCTTGTTATTGTTAAATACCTTTTCTCCCCAAATGCATTTCAGGCTGTTATGCCCAGAGTTTACTCACTTTGGCCGAGCTGCTCCTGTCACACACAGTCCTGTAAATCACTTGCTCCTGGTTTTGCTCCCAGACCAGTTGATTTAAGCAGCTTCAGCCAGAGGAAAGTGTGGAGCCCAACATCTCCGTGCTGGCACTGGGCAGGTGCTAAACTCCAACTGCTCCACTGGCACATCATCAGGGATCTCAGCAAAGTGTTTCTCTTCCTCCCCTCTCTCCTCTGCAATCCACTGGCATCAGTTGGTTTCAGGGACGTGACGGATTCAAAGACAGTTTAATCAAGCAGTGCTTCGCTACAGGCTGTGTCTGCTTCCAGGCTGAGGGAGAGCTGGAGCACCCACAGGTCCCTTTGGCTTGGGGAGAGCCAGGAGAGCCCCAAGTTAAGCTCCGTCGCAGCTTCTCTTGCTGTAAGAGGTGGCGCAGCTCAAGGCGAGGAGCCTCAGGGGGACCTCCCAAGATGCGAGACCCCTTGGGTGCACCCCGCACCAGCAGTACAGATCCGCTCTGGCCACAGAGACTCCGTTCACAGCATCCCCCAGGAGCTGGGATTCCCAACGCAAGCACTGAGAGACGGATCCCAGTACCCTAAGTACTGTCTGCCTGGTGTAACCCGCATGTCTCCTCCCCACAGAACTGTAAGAAGGCTCTAGTTTACCCCAAGGCAAGCCTGCAAGTTTAAAACAGCTGAGTAGGGCTGTTCTCTCCCTGCTCTTCAGTGCAGACCTCCGCGCACAGTGTGTTCCGTGTGCCCGACTCTGTGACCC